ATAGAGAGGTGTCCCTATGTATTAGTATGGGGCAGAACCAAGTGTCCTTTATAGAGAGGTGTCCCTATGTATTAGTATGGGGCAGAACCAAGTGTCCTTTATAGAGAGGTGTCCCTATGTATTAGTATGGGGCAGAACCAAGTGTCCTTTATAGAGAGGTGTCCCTATGTATTAGTATGGGGCAGAACCAAGTGTCCTTTATAGAGAGGTGTCCCTATGTATTAGTATGGGGCAGAACCAAGTGTCCTTTATAGAGAGGTGTCCCTATGTATTAGTATGGGGCAGAACCAAGTGTCCTTTATAGAGAGGTGTCCCTATGTATTAGTATGGGGCAGAACCAAGTGTCCTTTATAGAGAGGTGTCCCTATGTATTAGTATGGGGCAGAACCAAGTGTCCTTTATAGAGAGGTGTCCCTATGTATTAGTATGGGGCAGAACCAAGTGTCCTTATAGAGAGGTGTCCCTATGTATTAGTATGGGGCAGAACCAAGTGTCCTTTATAGAGAGGTGTCCCTATGTATTAGTATGGGGCAGAACCAAGTGTCCTTATAGAGAGGTGTCCCTATGTATTAGTATGGGGCAGAACCAAGTGTCCTTTATAGAGAGGTGTCCCTATGTATTAGTATGGGGCAGAACCAAGTGTCCTTTATAGAGAGGTGTCCCTATGTATTAGTATGGGGCAGAACCAAGTGTCCTTTATAGAGAGGTGTCCCTATGTATTAGTATGGGGCAGAACCAAGTGTCCTTATAGAGAGGTGTCCCTATGTATTAGTATGGGGCAGAACCAAGTGTCCTTTATAGAGAGGTGTCCCTATGTATTAGTATGGGGCAGAACCAAGTGTCCTTTATAGAGAGGTGTCCCTATGTATTAGTATGGGGCAGAACCAAGTGTCCTTTATAGAGAGGTGTCCCTATGTATTAGTATGGGGCAGAACCAAGTGTCCTTATAGAGAGGTGTCCCTATGTATTAGTATGGGGCAGAACCAAGTGTCCTTTATAGAGAGGTGTCCCTATGTATTAGTATGGGGCAGAACCAAGTGTCCTTTATAGAGAGGTGTCCCTATGTATTAGTATGGGGCAGAACCAAGTGTCCTTATAGAGAGGTGTCCCTATGTATTAGTATGGGGCAGAACCAAGTGTCCTTTATAGAGAGGTGTCCCTATGTATTAGTATGGGGCAGAACCAAGTGTCCTTTATAGAGAGGTGTCCCTATGTATTAGTATGGGGCAGAACCAAGTGTCCTTTATAGAGAGGTGTCCCTATGTATTAGTATGGGGCAGAACCAAGTGTCCTTTATAGAGAGGTGTCCCTATGTATTAGTATGGGGCAGAACCAAGTGTCCTTATAGAGAGGTGTCCCTATGTATTAGTATGGGGCAGAACCAAGTGTCCTTTATAGAGAGGTGTCCCTATGTATTAGTATGGGGCAGAACCAAGTGTCCTTATAGAGAGGTGTCCCTATGTATTAGTATGGGGCAGAACCAAGTGTCCTTTATAGAGAGGTGTCCCTATGTATTAGTATGGGGCAGAACCAAGTGTCCCTTATAGAGAGGTGTCCCTATGTATTAGTATGGGGCAGAACCAAGTGTCCTTATAGAGAGGTGTCCCTATGTATTAGTATGGGGCAGAACCAAGTGTCCTTATAGAGAGGTGTCCCTATGTATTAGTATGGGGCAGAACCAAGTGTCCTTATAGAGAGGTGTCCCTATGTATTAGTATGGGGCAGAACCAAGCCTCCTTATAGAGAGGTGTCCCTATGTATTAGTATGGGGCAGAACCAAGTGTCCTTTATAGAGAGGTGTCCCTATGTATTAGTATGGGGCAGAACCAAGCGTCCCTTATAGAGAGGTGTCCCTATGTATTAGTATGGGGCAGAACCAAGTGTCCTTTATAGAGAGGTGTCCCTATGTATTAGTATGGGGCAGAACCAAGTGTCCCTTATAGAGAGGTGTCCCTATGTATTAGTATGGGGCAGAACCAAGTGTCCCTTATAGAGAGGTGTCCCTATGTATTAGTATGGGGCAGAACCAAGTGTCCCTTATAGAGAGGTGTCCCTATGTATTAGTATGGGGCAGAACCAAGCGTCCCTTATAGAGAGGTGTCCCTATGTATTAGTATGGGGCAGAACCAAGTGTCCTTTATAGAGAGGTGTCCTTTATTTAGAGGTTCGGTTTCATTGCTTTTATACCTCAATAATTCACTTTCACTACCTTAATAGAGAGGTGTTCTTTATTCGGAGGGTCATTTTCAGAAGGTTTCACTTTCACTCACCCCTCTACGGAGAGTGCAGTTGCGGCTGCCGAGGTCCAGTATGAAATGTTCTCCGTCCTCCACCAGTAGCACCGCGTGCTGCCTCGACAGGGCTCTGACTGGTATACACACCTGGCAATCCTCGTCTCGTCCTATCGTGCTCTCACCTGCAATGGAAATGAGTCCAATACACATACATACATACCACGGGGCAGAAAGTGGTATCTATAAAATGTAATGATCGTGGAGATCTAGTCAACGTTTTGTCTTTCAATTACTTCATGCATGCGTTTTCTTGTATAGACCTATCGCTGCGTTGAGACAAAAACAGTTTTCGTGCAGAGTTTCTGCGAACTCCTATTATAAGATCAGGTCTCCATTAGGGGATAGCCTCCGCAAAGCTAAATCGTATTATACGGCGGAGCCAATTCAACGTCTCTCACCGTACCATCGCCGACTGGGTAGCAGCGGGCAGCTCTGATGGCTCCCTGCGGAGGAACGCTGAAGTAGCCCACGACACTCGGCTCTGCGGGTGGTGTGGACGGACTGCACGTGTCCATCAAATGCTCTGTTGACATGCCTCTTCCCCTGTTAAAACACGCAAAAAAGATTCTCTATTTAGAGCGCACCTTCAACGACCTTCGACCCGTCATAACGCATGCGCTAGGTCGCACAGGCGCGTGCGTAAAAATCAAACTTCATCATCATGAGGAGTGCAGTGATAAAAAAGCAGAAAGCACACGAAAAGCAGAGTAATATTAAGCAAACACACAGTCCTGATTTTGCATGGGCTTGTTGGACCAGAGAAGAGAAGATAATGGCGTCTCAGACGGTATCATCTGTGTGGAGAAATAGAGAGTCACTTTGGAGGGAGAGATGGGAGCAGAGACTGACCATGGAAAACCCACTGAGTCTTTTTAGGGTTCTTGGAGGCAATTCTGACATACTGTTTATCGTCAGGAGGTCGTATCTATGGCAACAAAACAGCGAGTTTTCATCACGTGTGTGTTTATTTGCACGGGTTGGTAACCTTGACAGTGCAGCTGCTGAGCATGCTCTGGATACTGATGCAGACGGACACGACGCTCATCGCCGGACTCCAATCTTTGTCCAGGATCGAGAGACAGATGTGGCCGTTGCTGTAGATGTGAGGATGGCAGGGTGACTTGCCATCCGTGAATGTCACCTGAGGAGAAGGTGGGAGAGGAGAGAGTACAGAATAATAGATGTATTACCTGGGGTGAGTCGAACGGATATTTGGAGCTAAATTTGAACAGAAGAACATATTCCTCCCCAGCGTACAGCGTCCCCTCCGGAGCAGCCAGATGTATTCTCCACCTGGTTACGTAACATTGAATAACTGATGATTTATGCGGAGAGCACACCTAGTCATCTGAGCTGAATTGCACATTTCTGTAAATTTTGTTAACTCCAGGTATTACGTAACATGGTCTCTCTCACCTCACACCCTAGGGCTACACATTGTGCTTATAGATAGGGCCCTCACAGGCACTACCCCACTTAGTCAACTAGCTACACATGATCTATACACACACTCACTGAAAGGCACTAGCGACGGACGTGTCTATAGCTAGCCGCACCACTCCAAGACTCACTCGTCCAATTTGTCTTGCATTGTGGTGCTGTCCAGTCGAATGCCCGCCGGTGCGTTGGCCTGGAAATCCTGGTACTCCTTCTTCAGTCTCCGCTGGTACGCGGACATGATGGCGGCACCTCCTCCTTCGCGCTGCTGGCGAGCAAGACTGAGAGAATGTGACAAACTCTTCTAAACTGACACATCTGCGCGTAGCCAGCCCCTCCACAACAAAGAGGGAGCTCCCACAAGCAAAATAAAAGCAAAACCTATCCCTCTCTTCTCTGAGTGAGGGGCTGGCCTCGCGAGATTCGACTAGAAAAGGCTAAAACCATACTTACTTGCTAAGTCTCTCTCCCAGTTAGGTCAGCTGTGCCACATCTAAGCGCATGCGTCAGTACATATTTTACGAGCTCCTCAAATTGGAAGGCGTGGCTCGTTTTATAATTAACCTCGGCGGCGCGCGCGTTCAACCACGACTTTCACTGGTGGTGAAGACGACTTTCTGCTTTCTTCTTTACTCCTCGTCTCTAGACGAAGCTGGTCCCGTTTTTAGACAGCCATGGGCGTTGACGTGGAAACACTGACACCCGGAGATGGTTAGTGAGCGAAACAAATACGTAAGATTAGTAGTAGTAGTAGGGAGGAAAAGGAGAGGTCTCTGCGTCTTTTACACTTTTCCCGGTTCTCTCGCTCAGTTTCATAACCCTAGAGTGCGTGTATTGTGTTGGTTATCCGCCTTACCGAAGCCAGCGGTAGCCAGTGAGCCATGTTGGGTAGTTCAGCTCCGTCTGATGTCGCCTAGCTGTCGAGCTAGCTAGCTCGCTCACGAGTATAGTAGCTGCGATGAGTAGTTGTCATTTTGGTGTAAGTTTTTGCCCGCGGAGTGCTGTCGAAGGCAAAGCGTACACGATGTAACGCCGGGCAAGTGGACGCCTTTGGCTTGTGCCGCGGCTTGTGTGCTTACAGAAAACCAACGAAAACAGACGGCCCGCTCCGGAAGCATGGCGTATAAAAAGTTTATTTACTGCCCGTGTGTGCACCAAAAAGGCAACGAAAACTGGAACTTGTGTCTACCCATGGTTGTAAGGAACAGACTGCAACATGGTGTGGATGGCACAATGAAAGAGTGTATACATGAGTTCATCTGCTTTTCAAATGTACAATTGAAAGGTCAAAAGGGAAGATGGAAGAAAAGTGTTAACAGCTTTACTGAACGGTAGCTCGTGTTACCTTATTTGGCGTGGCAATACGAACAAGCAACCAAGATGCCATGGGGGTATATAGGCAAGCACGTGTATCTGTGACTGACTGTGTTATAGCCCACTCTTTGGCAGGGAAAGCTATACACTCCATGTACCCTAATGGATAACTAATTCGCCAGTAATACATTAGTGGAACAAATGGTACACAATAGTACTCCAGTCAAAGACATGCAAATTAAGGGTCAGTTCTATTATGGAGTATAGTTATGTAGTTATGTTAACTACCTTATTACGCTTTAGGCATACAACAATCATATTAGCTATGCACTTGTAACTGGTATTGTGAAACGCGTTAGCTCAAAAGGTTTTTTGTCTTGTTATAATGATGGTATGCTGTCCACTCTGCTCTATTTAGGTAAGACATTTCCAAAGAGAGGACAGACTGTTATCGTCCATTACACTGGTACGTTCCTGTGTGTGTGTGTGTGTCCGACACTGGGCGAATTGCTTCTAAGTTAGGCTCAATTTCATTTGTCATGTGTACAATAGGGGAATGCACCTAACTAAACTAGTGTAGTGTGGGTGCATCTAGTGTGTATATACTAATTATGAAAATATTTGGAGCGTTATCTCTCTGGGCTATTATGGACTATCTCAGGAATATGGGGGAGTTTGTGAATTGATATATGCTAACACATCTCCCTCTTTTTCTCTCCCTCCCTCCAGGAACGCTAACGAACGGCAAGAAATTCGACTCTTCGCGAGATCGCGGGAGACCGTTCAAATTCAAGATAGGAAAAGGCGAAGTCATTAAAGGTATTGTCTTACACCCTAACAGAACATGAAACCTGTTTTAAAGCAGAATGCATGGTAGTAGGTACATTGTGCTACCACCAAGTGGGGGCTCCTGTAAAATTATCAGTTGTTTGATCTTGTCTTTCAAGGGCTCTTGTTTTTCTGTTGCCCCTGGCGACAGACCTCTGTCTCCTCCTCATGTTATTCTCTGCAGGGGGTCCCTCCACCAGTAAGTCTACCACTACTGTAGTGATGACTGATAGTGTGGGTTATGTATTACAGTGTGTGGTGTTCCAAGTTTAGATAATGTGTGTTCATACCACCACCAATGTTTTACTCCAGTGATAGTGGTTTATGACCTTACTTTTGCCAGACTGTGTGTGCCTGTGATGGATGCGTAAGTAGTGAGACACTAAATCATGCAGTATTACATTTGTATGATGTTTGGTTTTCTTTTCTGTTTTCTGCACACACACACTCTCTCTTCTCTCTCTCTTGCAGGATGGGACGAGGGAGTGGCACAGGTAAACTAACATGTACATGCTCTGGGTCCTCCTCTAGGTTTAAACTAGAACTATAAATGCAACACATTTTTGGCAAGGGAGCATGAGCAGTTCATTTTTTCGCGCATTTAGAATGACGTATTCCTTTTTCAGCATCAGGTAGAATGTTATGGTATGTGCTGCTGTGCCCGCAAAATGAATAAAAAAATTCCGCATTCTGACGACTAGGTAGGCTTGCTTTACTCACCAACCAACTAGAGCCAACTAGAGTATTGTGAACGGTCCGTGCCTTTCTTCCTCTCATTTACTCTACATCATTCCTCCTCTCCCCAGCTAAGTGTCGGTCAGAGAGCTAAGCTGACATGTTCTCCAGACTATGCATACGGAGAAGATGGCCATCCTGGCGTCATTCCTCCTAATGCAACTCTCATGTGTAGC